GTCCGGCTTTCTGTGGTCAGCCTTGAGATCAGCAGTGGTGGGAGGCTACAGCCTGGGCCTGGCTACACAGCTGAGTACCAAGCACTGTCTGCCCCGTGGTCCTTGCTCTCCAGCTCTCACACGGTGGGCATGGTTCTGTTAGAAGCAGCATCTCACATGTCTGGATGTGGGTTATGTATGTCTCTGTGAAGGGGAAGCTTCTTCGTCAACTTGCTTGGCTTGGGAGCACTCCAGAGGGTCCCTGAAGCGTTCCGCCGGGCAGGTCTAGGTGGGTCAGGGAGGTGCGCCGTGGGGTCAGCTGTTTCCTCACCGCTTCCTCTGTGGCACCATTTGCCTGCCATGCTTCCCAGCCGCCTGAACTAAGGCGTTGTCTCGCTCTTCCCTTCTGCTGCACTGTTTCTGCCTTGGAGCCACTGGTGTAGACTAAATCCACTGCAACTGTGAGCCAAATAAATCACCTTCTCCTTTAAATTGTGGGTGCCAGGCATTGTCTCCCAGCAACAGGAAAGCTGATCAGTAGAGTCTTCCAGCTGCACACCTTTCCTTGCATAATTCATTATCATTGTTAATCGTGGTTCACTCAAAAGTCATCCTTAGAAAATTTTTTCATTTCCTCTCCTTTCCAGAGTATCCTCCATCAGATCAACTGAGGAACTCCGTAATTCCCACGGAAGGGAAAGAGGCAGCCTAGGAAAGCCCTCCTCAGACTGTGGACTTTGTGACATCCCAATGTATGTGCAGTGATGAGGGATGTTCAATAAAGCCTTTCCTGGGAAAAACCAGCATCAGAAGTAAACAATGAAGCGAAGAGAGACTTAGTATGTTGCTGAGAGACACTGCATATAAACTCACAAAGTGATCCAGTATTGTCTTAAATGATGCTGGCAGCACCACATACCAAACTAAAATCCAAGTGGATTAAAGATCTAATATTAAAATAGAAACACTAAACTTGCTGGAGGGTAAGTTACGTCAAACTCTCGAAGACATTGGCATAGGAAAAGACTTTATGAACCAATCCTCAGTAGCATGGGAACTAGCAGAAAGAATCAACAACTGTGATCTCATCTTTTTAAGCTTCTGCACTGCCAGAGAAATCACAGAGTTAAGAGACAACCCACAATGTGGGGAAAAAATTTTACCAGCTGTTCTTCAGACAAAGGTCTACTATGTAGATTATATAAAGAACTCAAAAAATCAGACCCCCCAAAACATAAAGACTGCAAGAAAACTTACAGTTCAAACTGACTCATAAATGCCAAAGATGATAGAGTTAACAGAATATCACTGATATATTGGGTGACATTAATGGCCTGTTAAATGCTGCAGAAGAAAATGTAAGTGAACTTGAAAACAGCAGTAATAAATATCCAGTGGGAAACAAAGAAGAAAATACCCTGAAAAGGAGAAATAAGTAGATCATTAATGAGTTGTGGGACAACTACACACACCGAATATCATGCCTGAGGAGGGAATGAAGCTTAAAAATATTTTAAGAAATTATACTTGAATGTTTCCTAAATTTGATGAAATCTATATATGTGGGAACTACAACAACCTCAACAAACACTTAAGAAATCTACACTAGAATATAGCATAACCAACTTGCTTTTAAATAAACATGATGAAATCTCTGAGATTTTATCCAGAGCAGGAAAATTACTTAAGACATTTGAAGGATCTTGATAACAGATGTGCTTGGAAACAGTGTAAGCTAAAAGCCAGTGAAAAACTTTGAGAATGCTAAATAAAAAAAAATATGACCAGGGGTTCTTCACTCAGTAATAATATTATTTCCAAACAATGGGGAAATTATGGCCTTTTTGGACTAAGATGTGTCTAAAGAATTCATTACCCTCAGATGACATTATGGAACTGCTACAGAAATTCTTAACCAGGGGTCAGTGATTTAGCTCAGTGGTGTTGCTCCCTGCTTTGCAAGCACAGGGTCCTGAGTTCAATCCCTGGTACCCACCCCACCAAAAAAAAAAAGAAATTCTTAACCAGAAGCAACATATTACTCCATGGAAATCTGGATTTATGCAAAGTAATGAAGAGCACGGGAATGGTAGCTGTATGAATAAATACAAATACTCTTTTTCTTATTACTAAAGTCTTCAAGAGTAATCAGCTGCAGCAGTACTAATCAATTGTGGAGTTTTATAGGAAGTGAATGTGTAAAACCAATCACGAAGTTTAGAAAGGGAAAATTGAATGCATATTATATATTTCTTATATGTGAAGGGGTATATAACATCACTTGATAATAAACTATGTTAAATTAAGAATTTGTACTATAGCTGGGCATGGTGGCACATGCCTATAATCTCAGCACTCTGGAAGCTGAGGCAGGAGGATTGCTGTGAGTTCGAGACCAGCCTGGGATACATATTGAGTTCCAGGGCAGTCTCAACTACATAGTGAGACCTTGTCTCAAAAAACAAAAAACAAAACACACACACACACACACACACAAAAGAAAAAAGAATTTCTACTATAAACCTTAAGCAAGCACTGAAATAACACAATCAAAAGTATAGCTCAAAAAGTTAAAATGGAATCCTAAGCAACTCAATCCAGAAGGTAGAAAAAGAAATAAAAGTAAACAGCAGATAGTGTGTGTGTGGGGGAACATGCTCGATTTAAGACCAATCATGTCAATGATTGCTGTATCCGTCTTTCTGTATATCTGTCTGTCTATGTATCTGAGACATCAAGTTTGATGTAAAGAGGAAGGCACAATTGTATCCTGACTGTAGGAAAGCTGCCTTAAAAGTTACATCACAAGTAGATCAAGAAAGTGAGAAAGTGGCAGAGTGTAATTGCAGCATTATGCTAATACTAACCACTGAGAACCACAATGGTTGTGTGGACTGCGGGGGACACAGAATGCAGAATAGTTTTTAAGTAAATTTATATATCCCCTGTTTAGAAACTGGCTAGCACTGAGAAAAAACAGGGACTAAAATTCTTGAATAAAGATGCTTTTCTGCATTTTCAGAGCATATTCATCTTTGAAATTTGAAAGGAAGGAGATACAAGTCAAATAATAGAAAATAAAATACTGAGATGTTTTCCTTCTTACTTTCTGGAAACAAGCTATTTTGCATCTATTTAAATAGTATGCAAGTCTTTCAGAGGTCTTCTATGAATGGGGTTATGAAAACTGTAAGAGAGGAGACTTATTGAAGAGGCACTGTCCCCCAGTCATCATTCCCGTGCAAGTCCTTATATCCAGCACCATATGCTACAAATGGCCTCAGAGGTACACGGGTCTGTTCTACAAATGAATGACTCTTGTTTCCCCATTGTTAGTGTTTTGCAAATCTAATTGGCATATATTGTTGTATGGTGAGGGCAGGGAGTTTCGTCATGTCAGGCACTGTGGAAGCAAATGAGACCCAAGGCGAAAGGGGAATGTTAGAAAGCTGTCTTAAAGAGGAAATACAGAAGTCAAAAGGATAATTCGGTATCTGCTTCTGCATCCAGACAGGTTAAAGGTGAAGTATGGTGCCCAGAACATTCACATGATGTAAAATCTGGGGACCTGTGAGACAGTGTTTGATCTCCATCTTTCCACTTAGTGGGCCTGTCCTTGTAATGTAAAATGTATTTCATGCTGTGGGTTGTGGTCAAAATAATTGGAAGGCATTATTCAGAAAAGTTAATCTCTTTGACCTAACTAGCCTATAACGATAACATGCTTCTTACGATATACTAATTTGAGTTTAGGCAACCAAACTATATGAAAATAAGCTTGTTATAATGCTTAGCTGTGTATAAAATTTTTAATTCCCAGGTAAGTAGTAAATTCCCAAAATGTAAATCCAGGATTAAAAAGAATAAAATAAAAATAATGTTTTCTCCCATATCGCTCTTTTAGACTTTATTTTCTCTTCCAAGGAGCAAACAATAAGGAGATTGTTATGTATTCTCTTAAAAGATTAGTTTTTCATTAGCTGTGTGTTTCAGGATAATTTAAGAGAAATCTTTGCCTAAATGAATGAAGCCCTTGGAAGACTACTTTTATTTTCCTCAAACATGCTAGCCTGTAAATATTCGATACTTGTTCTAGAGTGCTGGTGCTCAATCTCCTGTCACCTGGGCACTGCCAATGGAATTCAGATTAAAAATTTCTTATTCTGTTAGCCAGAGAGCCCATTGACACACACTTGATGTATGCTATGTTTGTAAAGGGATCCACAAAAACTTTTTGTAATAATACTAGCTATAATACTTAAAATGCATTTACTCTGTAGCATGATTTTACCTAGTATATTCAAAATATACACATTCTAGATATGATAGGAAAATAGGGTGAATGTTTAAGTTAAAAAGTTATTACAGAAGAAGGCACATTGCCAATAATCCCTTCAAAAGAAGGCCCTTCTTTTTGACCAAACATACTTGTTCTTGCTACTTTTTCATTTGTTCGTTGCCCTTGCCACTTTTGGTGCGGCTCTCTGGGGGGACCCCGTCCCGCGGGGAATAGGAGGTGAGAGCCGCCTCTTATTCGTGGGTCATCAGAGGCCGATCCGATCTTGAATGTCTGTGGAGGAAATCTTTAAGAAGTTAGAGTACACGGCCCAAGTCTGGTTTCTGATCAAAGGCGCTTTATTGGCTCAGCAAAACGATTATATACTGTTATCCCAGGGGGAAGGTTCAGCAAGCTTATTGGACAGTTCAAACAAATCAATCACATGAGTCACTCAAGCATTTAACCATACAGCAATCAGTATTTTACCAAATGTGGGGAGGGGTAAGTGGGAAGGCGTACATCAACAATTAACCCTATGCAATCTTTAACTTCACAATCCCTAGGGGCAAGCAGGACAAGGAAATACCACCTGCTTCCTGCTCCAGATCCCGTGACCCTGTGGTTAGCACAAAGGGCTATTCTTTCTGTAAGATTTCCTGTTTGCCCAGGGGCTAGACCTGCCAAAGGTCACGTATGTAGTCTAGTGGGATTTTTCCACCGAGGCAAAGGCTAAGGTTGAGGGCAGCCATCTTATGCAGGCCCAAGCAGTCTCTCACAGTTCCCCCTTCTCTGTATAAAATTAAGCAAGATTAGGGTGGAGGGCTCATGTCTTAGGCTACTTGATGTGCCTCCGGACCTGGACGTGATGCATAGGTGTTCCAGCGAGTCACGCTGCCCCCAGGTACCGGCATCAAGCTAATCCCGTCGGAGACACCTCCACAGCCTGGAGCAGAGCGAACGACGGCGTTCAGCCATCTGTTCAAATTCTACAAAGCTTAGGGGTTGGAACCCATGGTCACCAGCGGGCTGGCTATTTTCAGGGTCCTGAGAGGAGAGCTGCTGGTAGTGCACTTGTATGGAGTGTTTGGTGGCCTCATCAACCTGGTTCTTAACAAAACTTGTGAGGCGGCGGAATGCCCATGGGCCAAAGGAAATCAACAGCATAAAGCCAATAAAGGGTCCTAAAAGGCTAACAGGGTGGACAGCCAGGGGGAGGTAGAAAACCAATTTTGATACCAAGATTAGTCCTTTTCCCGTTGCCTCTGCCTTTGTTTGAGGCTTTCCTCAACCCTTCTAATGCTATCATCCACTAGGCCCAGTTTATCTTTAAAAAAGCAACATTCTTCTTTCAAGGCTGCACAAACTCCCCCCTCCCGCAAAAAGGCGAGGTCTAGACCTCGGCGGTTCTGCAAAACAACCTCGGCAAGGGAAGCAACAGTTTCCTTAAGGTGTTTTAGGCCCTGCTTAAGCTGTCTAATATCTGCATCGACAGCACGTTGTAGTTGGTTAAAGTTTTCGGTGGAGGGAACAAGGGAGTAAATACCAGTTCCGGCGCCCGCGGCGCCAAGGCCAAGCAGAACTGCAATGGTAATGGCGGAAACGGGTTCACGTGTATGCCTTAGGAGGGAGGAATCAGTGGATGAAAAGAGGAGGTCGTCCTTGGGCCTAACAGTAAGGCGAGGCAAAAGCAAAACTAAAACACAATAGTCCCTATGAGCTAAAAACAGCTGCGGGACCAACAAAGGGGTTAATCCAGTGGAGCAGGCAAAATAGGTGCCATTAGGGGAAAGAACATAGGAGTCATTACCATTAACCAAGTAGGTGCTGTTACAAATATCAATCAATTGGGGGGGAAGGCGCATATGAGGTCCCAAAATACAAAGTCCAATTCCCACAACCTGTCTCAGAGTTATGCCTTGGCTAGGGTCGATGTCCCAGGCAATGGCAGGTTCGTCTTGGAGAGGAATCAGTTCACCAGTAACTGCAACACCTTCGTAAAAGGGGGGCTGTGAGGAGTAGCAAATCCAGCACTCCTTATACGCGGGGTCTGGAGGGAAGGCCAAGGGGTGGTGGCAGCAATCTGGGAAGTAGCGTTGGCAATGTCACCGGCCTCGTTGATTATGAGCCAAGTGTAGTTGTAAAGACGATAGGGGCTAGCCAAAGTAAAAGGGGGATAAAGATCAGAAATCAAAAGGAGAGGGAGAAGCCTCGGTAGAAGCAGGAACATCTTGTAGGTCAGTCGGCGAGGTAGCGGGTGTGTCAGCGGGACCTGAAACGGAAACAGAAACATCCTCAGGGGCGCTTTCCCTGGGTGGGTTATAAAGCTTGACCAGTCTGTCTGGAAGCCAGCGCGTTTCTCCAGTGGTGGCATTGTGAACACAGGCATGGCCTTTGCCCCAGATAAGGACTGGGTGAGGGCCGAGCCATCGGCCGGTGTGTACATCCTTCCAAAGAACTTGTTGAAAATTTTCCTGTGTGGA